ATACACAGAGTTGTCTGAAGTACCAACATAAAAGCAATGCATGTGTTATAAGAGAAGTTTCATAAGATTATGTGGAATAGCTGTTCTCAATTATTTTTTGTCCTTGTATTTTTCAGTACCTGATATCAATGTTATTATCATCTATTTGTTTAAATGTTGATTAAATCTCTAAACATTTAATAATCCATCTTATAAATTTTGGTCTGGCATCATTATACTAAAAAAACATTTAGGTCAGATTTTTTTAAAGTAGCATCAATTTAGGTTATGATTTTATTTAAATTTAGGCTCTGTATTTAACAGCCAAATTGCAAAATTAGAGAAAGTCAGGCAGCTCCCCTTTAACAATAAACTATTGAGTAATATTAACAGTTGGAGGATTACACCCAGAAGGTGTAAACCACTCAAACTGCACTAATTGTGTTCCTCTTTTACTATTTGTGTTTTCTCCTAAACATCTGAAGTCTTGCTTTTTGTAGATTTTAAAAATACATATGAAAAAGTGCATGGTTCACATGTGTAAACCACTGGAAACCCCTTAACTCTCCATCTGCTGATTTCACAAGATTTTTTATGTAGCCAACACACATAGTCTGAGAGTAAGGATGTGATTTTTCAAGGACATGAAATGCAATTTGGAGTTAACAGACAGCAAAATCTGGCAGACAGGTACCTAACTCTGGTATAGTTTTGCAAACCTTTTCCTTAAGGCTCAGCCATATGTTATAGATCTTAGAAAAAGGAATAATGAAAAACAGCCTTACACCAATATTCCTTTTTTATCCCACTAAATTAACTTTAAGAGTATTCTTAAAAGAAACTAATCTTTTCCTAAAAACTGTTTGATTAATCCTCTTCTAGTCTTCAGGCACAAAACTAAAATAAGGTCAACCACCTTAACACATTGGCACTTGAATTTCTCCTATCTTATGCAGGAAGTAAAACTACAACAATCAGAAACATAAAATCTGGCAATTCTGATACATCAACTGTGCTCTGGCTTTGATTCTAGCAGGGAGAAATAACCTTGCTTTTTTATCACCACATCACACACATGCAGAGAAAACTCGGCAGGAATGTAAAGCACATGCACTAATGAACTTAATTAACACACAGAAAATAAAAGAACTACCCTGCAGATGTGTATTTGTAGTGAAATCAGTCAGCAAATGAACAAGTAGTCATGACAAAATTGTATATGGCTTTCTCCTGTCACTGGGGTCAGAAGTACAAAAACAGGGTAGGAACTAAGTTATTATAAATCTTTCTTCTAAAATTAAGGGGTTTTTTTGTCTGTTTGTAAAAAACAAAGCACAAGTTATTATTACTGCTGCATTGAGTAGAGCCCAGCACCAGCCCCACCGCTGAGCACCCTCCTCCTGAGATTGTGGGGACCCAGAAAGAGCCCAGCCCTGCCAGAGGGATCCTGCCCTGGCTCTGTGCAGGTTTGTGTGCACAGCGCTCAGTTAAGGTGACACAAGTGACACTGTGACAGTGAGCAGAGGGCTAAGCAGCCACCCCAGTCCTGTGACTGCAGGCTCAGGGTGCTTCACCACCCATGGCAGCAGCTGCCTGTCACCTTAATGCATTCTTACCCTTCAAAAGTCCAGTTTGCAGAGGTTTGAAGAAGTGAGGTTTAGAGGCTCTCTCCTCCCACCAATGTGGTTGAATCAGCTGCATATGCAACAAATTCTTAGGTACCTGGCAGGTCCAGGGAAGAGTTTTTCACTTCAGAGCCTCTTCCAGGGGACTGAACACCAAACCCACCAGTGTTTCTGTGAACCATAACAAGGCAGTTCACAGCTTAGGAAACACCCCCAAGCATAGAGGTAGTAAAAGATCAAGAGGCCAAATTTTAGTTACCAATAATTATAAAACATTTGCAATTTTTTTTTTTTAATAGATCATCTCCTAGCAGAAGATGATGCCCTCTTTATTATCTTTCTCCAAATTATTTTCTCTGGTAAAAGCTAAGCCAAGAAAACTAAAGGATGATTGTAGAACCACTTCAAAACCTGCAACAGCCAATACTCTTGTCCTCTTGCAGGGTATATGAGAATGGCAGTTGACCTCTGTGCTGGGGGGTTTTCCATTATGTTAAAGTGACAAAATCAAGGGAATTGATTCATTTTAAACAAAGATGAGCACAGAGACATTCCCATATGAATGAAGCAATTCTTTACACCTGTGAATATATTGTGGCAGGGCAACTTGCTGTAGTAATACAAATGGTAATTTATTTTACATCCCCAAATGCATTAGGGAAGACTAAAGAAATTCCACTTATAAACTTGAAAATAATATTTAATAACACAGAATAACTTGCACCCATACCCATGAGGTAAAAAAACCCTGGACTGAGACTCAAATATAAGTAGCATTTAGATGGTTATTTCCTTATAACCTCACATCCCTAACAGGAAAAAAAAAATCTCCCAAACCCCAAATATTGCAAGGTAAAACTTTAAGGTCTGCTCTCACTGATTCATAGTTTGGCCATTACTCAAACATGCAATGTATAATGCTGATGAGTTAAACATCACATCACCCATTTTGATTTATTCCTTTCAATTCTCTGGGAATTTTATTTATGTTTATAACTACAAGGTCAGTGGTGCCAATAGATTCAATCCAGGGATAGACAATTGAGTGCTTAGACCATTACACAGAATTACAGTGTATTGATTAGAATACTTGTGGAATAACTAAGGACAAAACTAATAATGTTACTAAGAAAAATGCCCAGAAGGGATCAGGTTTAGTCCAACCAAGTAATACAGTTTCAGCACTGCTGAAGAGAAAACCAGCAGTCTAAAAGGTGAACTCTTACAGTTATTATTTTCTTTAAGTTGGTGCTCGTCTACAGTCAATAAAAATATTAATATTATTTTATTTCTTCCTTCTATCATTTTTATGTACTAAAACAATATTATCTATACTGTCCTCAAGACACAGAAGACCAAATCCACCACAGTGAACCCTAACAATGCAGTTCACATCTTACAAAACACACTCACAAGCACAGAGCTAGTAAAAGACCAGGAGGTCAAATTTCAGTTAACAATGATTATAAATTATTTGAATTTTTTTAATAGAACATCTACCAGCAGAAGATGTTACCCTCTTTATTATCATTCTCCAAAGCAAGCAAACCACTTTCTTTATGTGCTTTCTGAATTTCCAGAGTATCTGAGCACAAAGAGCACAGGCTGGTGCTGTATCACATATCACTAATTCAAAGCATTTAATCCTGTCTTCCACACGTCGGCCAAAGCAATACGAATGCCAAGAAATTCCTCTTTGAGAGCAGAATTGTATACACTGTACATTGTATAAGCCTTCTGTCCCCTTCCACTTGAACGTACACTATCAAATCATCGTGGTCATTCCTTTCTATTGAGCAGATGGTATTATGAGATTTTTGATAAAGAACAACAATCACCCAGGAAGGGTTGCAAAGGGGTCGCTGAAACCAAGATTAACAATTGATTAGCTTTAATGGACCGTGACAGTAATAAACAACAGAGCTCCACACAAAGATTTGATTGTCCTGTTAATGCTGCTGACACAAATGGCTTTTAACTGGCTTCCTGAAAGTGTTAATATCGCCAGAGCCCCGGCAAATGAAGGACTTTGTCAAAGTGAGACCTGTCCTGCAGTGAAGAAGCATTTACTACAGCCCTCTAAAACATCTTCTATAAAGTGTGTTTCTGATTTATTCAGACAATAGTTCCAATTTCTCCAAGGCTTAAAGTTCAACAAAATGAAATGCAGCACACCTCTGTAAGGCTGAAGTATAATAGAACTCTAAAGCATTTGAATAGAGAACTCAGCACTCCTCGAATATACAACAATAATGTGAATGAGCCTTTTCAGTGGGCTCATTTTATCCTTACTCCAGCCTGGGCTGACAGATCTCAGTATCACAGCCTTCTAAACTCAATTTTTTTATGCTTGGTTCTGATAAGTTGACTCTATTTTTTCTTCCTTTCTGCACAGAAATCGCTAAGTTGCATCATATTTTCATTAAAATAAAGTGGTTTGTGATTACTGGAAATAACCATGGCAAAATCTGAAAACAAAACTTAACAGATCTGTTTATTTCTTGGATACACATATGGGAAAATGTGTATGGAAAAAGTCTCTATTTCCTTTAATTCTTAAGCCCAAAATTTAAATAGACTTATGGTGAGTATTCACAGAAGGTTTTAAAATTAAAGCTAGGTAGAGGCAAAGTAGACAAAACTCCACCTAACATGTCATTCAAGAAACCACGGATCTAGGAATTCAATTAAAGGTAAGGAGGAATTTACTCAACCAAGCAGTAAGACTTTCTGCTAAACTTTTAATGTCAGGTTAAATAACTCAGTTTCTAAAATAAACCTTTAAAAAAAAAAAAAAAAAAAAAAAAAACAAAAACCAAAATTATGTGTCTTCTTCAGGAAAAGGCTTTTGTTTTAAACATTTTTAGCTGTGAGCTGCCACGGTGCTGCTCCCTCCCATGTTATTCCTAAAGGCAGCACACAGCAGTGGTGCAGCTCTAAGGGCTCCTAGGAAAGAGAAAAACCAGGGTCTGCTCCAGACACAGATCCAAGCACAAACCACTCGCACAAATCAAGGTCATGCTAATCCCATCCCCGTGGGTCCCACCCCATCTGCAAACTCCACTCTCTGCAGAGCAGTTCCTCACCAGCAACTGCAGCGACACAACACGAGGCTAATTGCTGGGTTTAAAAATGTGATCTGCATAGATATGCAAGGGAATTTAAATGAAATCTCTGAAAGAGTAAAAGCCACCTGCTTGGTGTCCCAACACACGAGCACTAAGTACATAACCTGTCAAAATACTGAGCCAGCCTTCATTAATTCCATTTTCTGTAATCAGCATCCTTCTATTACTCACATGCTTGGCTTTCTACAGCAGCTCTTCAAGCAAGCTATTGTATAAACCATTAGATATACTCTGATGATAAACATTCAAGAAAGTAATTATTTACTACCTGTAAGTCAGCATCAAATTCATGTTTCAGGTAAGCATCTTCTGCAGCTTCAACAAGACGCTGAAAAAAAAGAAAGTGTTTTTGAAATAATGGATAACAACTTTACAACCCGGTATAAAAACAGAGATTTTTTTGAGCATTGTGCAATTTATCTGCTGTCATACTTCATTGAATAGAAATAAATTATTCAGATTTTAAAAAAAGAAATAAAGGACCAAGTTTTTAAAACCCTCAGTACCCACTGTTGGTAGTACAAAATTCTAAAAACAGCTCACCTATTAATAAATAAAGAAATTAAAAAGTCTCTTTTTTCACTAGTGCTCAGCTTTCTGTAGCTCCCATTCTGAAATTGTTTTGAAAGAACAAAAATAAAGTTGATTTCACATGGACTTCATTTTGCACTAGGAGCCCTTTTCAAATCTTTCTTAACAGTGGGTAGGAGGAATTCCCCAATAATGCACTTGACTTCAAGAAACTGGCATAAAAATGAATTTCTAAATTACACATTAACTATAAATGATAAGAAAAGTATACACTAGGTTTGTTTACTGAGCAGACTGAAATACTACCTTAACGTGGTACATTATCACAAGATTTTTCTGCAATTACAGAAGTAACATTTACTGAATGGCAGCAATTCAGCAGTATTTTTGCCCTCTTAACAATATCCAGAACTCCTTGTTGTAGCTATTTTTCCTCACCATTACCGTCTGACAGGAAAAAAACACAGTTGCACCAAAACACAGCTACCTGAACCATTTAATTCATAGAGGGGTTTGCTGCAGATATTCAGCAGGGAAATGACATTATACCCTTTCTGAGGTTTTACTCAGCGCTCTTTATAGCTCAGAGTATTTCAGCCATGGAAGAAGCTCCTTCTAGTTTTCATTTAATCCACCTGAACATTCATATATGTACAAGCCAAAATCAAACAAAGAATGCTCTGTGTCTTTTATTTTCTTTGCTCTATCAGACACTGGTACACACGGATATTTTCACATATTTTACATCACAAAGCAAGGTCCAGACTCTCATTAACAATACGCAGAGTGGGCAGCCATGCACACATTTTTTTCTCCCTTTTCATAATAGTTTGCACATTTATCAAGCCCTTGGATATAAATCAAAATGAAATCAGAATTCATATTGATTGCTATACAGTTTGAGCTATAATGGAAACTGAACCAAGAAAAATATTTCTGGTTGCCAATGCAGAACAAATGGTTGAGCAGAACGCTGACAGTCTGAGCAGAGCCTGGTGGCTGCAGGGAGGGGTTGTGCTTGCTGGGTCCACGGAGCAGCAGCGAGTCCCAGCCTTGCTCTGCTGCCCCATCCCAACCCCAGCTGTCCCATCCCATCCCCAGCTACCCCATCCCATTCATCTCCTTGCTGCCCCATCTCCCCTCTGCTCCATCCCATCCCCAGCTTCCCCATCTCCTCTCTCCCTTTGCCATCCCATCTCCCACTCACCCACAACCAGCACCAGCCCCAAAAACCCCAGGGCTCTGCTGGGCTCCTGCCCCCTCCCTGCACACCCCTTGGGGAGGCTCTCCAGACTTTTCTTTGGTGCCGAATCACAATCTCAAACGTACAGTTAATAGCTGGAAATACTCCTGATGCCTCAGCTGATACAGAGAAGCAAAGGTCACCTTTGCAGAGCCCCGTGCTGGGAGTAGCTCCCTGACATTTGACTGGTTCCAGCTTTGAACATCCTGTCCCATGAAAACCCAGCTGGTCACAGCAAACCCATTTGACCCAAACTGGAACTGAACTGGGTCCAGCACTGGGCAAATCAAACCAGAACTGAACTGGCAAAATGTCTGAGCTCACCTTCCTACTTACTGGGGTAAAAGAACCCAAAAATAACAATGCATCCCAACCTGCTGCAGGAGGGGGAGCTGGGGGAAAACATTTCAAACAGAACTGTGAACTTCTGTGTCATTGTTCCCACTACTCATGCACTATCTGAATAGTACCAAGAACAGACTTTGCAATGTGAAACATTAATGAACATTCATTTGAGCCGCAAATTTTTGCCTTTAGAATCCAAAAAGGGAAATAACACAAATTTTCTCCTCTGGGGGGGAAGCCTTCTAGCTACTGAAATAAATCTGTGCATATTTGAACATTCTCAGAAGCCCATCTTTAATCAGCATCCTAGTGACCTGCTGAAAGAATTTTACAAATAGAACCCTCATTTTTCAAACATGAAAAAGGTCTTTTATGTAAAATAACTACTCTAATTCAATGCATTACCTTTATTTTCCTTTATTATAAAGGCATAGGTGTATCACTATTCTGTGCTCATCTGATACAAAAATTCATGACTGATGAGTCTGAGAGTAAAAAAGTGGAAGAATCAAAAAAATTCTTCATACAGAAAAGAATACATGGAAAAGGAAACTCCATTTTTCGTTTTGTGCTGAAATACTTACTTAATCATCAAAAGAAAAATTATTATAGTATTTCATGAGATACCAGTGATATTAGATATCAGTACCTAGCGGGCTAGAAAAATAATTCATGGCTTCTTATATAGTTTGTATTGATCCCAATGTGTTTCAATTACATTTTTGCCTCAGTGAAATAAATTTAAACTAAGATTTATCCCCACATATAAGAAATAACTAGAGAAACATAAGTTGGGGAATAGTAGAAACATCTGGTAACAAGGGCAGCTCAGAAATGAAAAGTACTGCATGTTATTTTATTGAATTATTCATTAAGATTTCAGTTGTTACTTTTTTTTTTTTAATGTACATTTCAGCAACATTCTCTACAAGAAACTCAGTGACAAAGAAGTAAAGTGTCTACTGACAGGAATTTTTCCTTGAAGCTGTAGAAGCAAATATGTAAGCACAGTTTGGCTTTGCCCTCACAAAACTAAAAAAATTAAACTATTGGTACATAAAATGAAAAAAATGCAAGCATATGCTGCACTTTCTATGTGTCAGTCCTTAACCACAGTTTGCTTTAAGTATCTCAACACCGTTACGAAGGAAACCATGAGAAATCTGGGAGAGATACAGAAAAGCAAAGCCAATAATAAGTCCAATTCCACAAAATGACATATCAGTGGATATACACAAATTATATTGGAATGAAAAAATTGAATGCAAATGTTTCATGGGGTTTTGTTGTGTTTTGGGGGGGGTGGGGGGGCTTGGTTGGATTTTTTTTTAAAGAGGTCCCCAAAGGGATGAAGCACAATGGAACAAATTCCTTAACACTCTGCAGGCAAAAACATAAAAACCACATGTAATACCGCAACTTTTTTATATGGAGGCAAAAGATCCCTTTTAAAATATTTTACTTTCTGAGCAGTTATCTAGCAATGAGTCTCAACATTAGCATGATTAGCAATTTTAGCTTAATAGTTTATAATGACACTCTTAATAGAATTGCCAATATATTTTCATTTGAGTAACCATACTCTCAAATCCTTGCTGGAGCAAGTAAATGTTTCCCAAGCTGTGGTTATCCAGAAGGGAATTGTGAGGTATCTGCATGCATTTACGTGGGATGAATTGTGAACACAGAGTGAGAATTGGTACACTCACATCATTCGAGGGTGTTTTCAGAAAAATTTAGCCCTAAATGTGGAAAAGTGTCTGTGTGCACATAAACAGGCAGGTCAAGGACAGCACACAATCTTTAGATAAAGCAATTATAGTGTTCTAAGGCACAGCTCAATTGAGGTTCCCCCAGCTAAGGAACTAATCCTTAGAACTTTCCCAACACACATAAACATGAGAAAGATGAACAGCCTGACCCAGAATATCACAATGCATGCAATATATATATTATATTATATATTACAAATGTGGGTAAAAACAGAGCAGGAAATGAAGAAATAACATAATCACAAAAAACCTCAAAATGGTCACCAAAACATAAGCTCAATGTTTTGTGTATTCAGTGGTACTGATGTTATAACATAGAAAAAGTTGAGAGGTGAAAAATAAATGTTTGTTACCTCACAGTATTTTTTTAAAAAAATAAACCACTGAGCTATCTCTCAAGTTACCTAACAAGGTAATTTTCTTGACAAATGATATTATCATTTCAGTGAACTGATATTGCCAGATAAATTCTTTCAAGTTAGGTTGCTATAGATAGAGCAAAGAAAAGGTGAAACAGAATGAATGAAGTGAAAGAAGAATCCAACAAAAAGTAAGAGGGAAAAGGAACAGAAATGCAGAGGAAAGTTGAAAATAAAAGCTGCAAATAAAAATTTCAAGGAAAAAACATCAGACAAACATCCAGAGGGTAGGGTGGTTATTTTAGCTTCTGAGATGTTTTCTCTTTTCATGTACTTTAAAAAGTTTCATATTACTTCTCAATGATTTCCCTTCATTAGAATCCCATTTTGAAGTTAGATTAAATAAATTCAGAGGCGTAACCAAATTTGAAACAGTTTCTGAACTCCTGAACTGTGGAGGGTTACTAATCTTTATCCATGACTGCTGATAGAAGTTACGCCCTGCTCTCTTTTCTGCTCTGAAATCTTAAAAAAAAATTGTATTTCATCATTTCCTTTTTATTTTTCTAAGATGAACCAACACATAGAACCAGAAATGCTTCTCAAAATTGTTCTTCTCAAAACCAAACTGCTACAAATCACAAAAAAAGCATTGAAGATGGCTCAAATTAAATTATAACTAGTATCAGCTAGGTATTGGTATCATCTAAGTCCACAACATAAGTAGTTTCCATTCCATAATAACAATTTAATAACATTTCTTTAACAAAATGCACTGGCATATCACAGTCATGAGAGAAGTGTAGACAAAGCTGTAGGCTGCTCTTATATTCTAGCATCAAATATAGCCCTGAAAAACTTTCTTATTATTTTCCATGGCATCAGATCTGTTTGAGGTTCCTAAAAACATGAATACAACTTTGATTATATTCAAAGTTATGCCAGAGATGTGTTTTGGAAGAAAAAATAATAACAATCTTTTTTTTAACTTTAACAGGTGTGTCTCTCTGACTCCTGTGTATGGAATTCTAAGCAAGATTTCTATCTTAATCAAATGTAATGAACTTTGTTAAGAAAA